TGTGGGCCTTTTCGGGGTCAGGGGAATGAGGCCCGTTTATTGTGTTTAGCATTTTGATAGCCACGTATAGCTTGCTGGGTTGTGGATGTGGAGGCTGGGTTTGCTTACGGGTAGCTTGCCAGACTCTCCCGGAGTAGACATGAAGCTTATTTGTTGGAGGCGACTCCTAGCCACCTCCCATATACTACCCTGTCACTTGACTGCAGGCCTTTGGCCGAATTGACTCGTAGAATACTGTCTTCATAAACTGGAGCGCACCCACACACGCATGCATGAATACGCCTCGTAAATACAGAAAGTATGTGCCAAATCAGAAACAGAGAGGCCATCCCATAGATCCACCTGCGTTTCAGGTAAGCAGAGGTCGCTTTTGGTCTGTGATCAAACCTCTATCCGCCACCTGGGAACGCACCACGTCGCCTCGCGATTGACCGGCTATCGGGATCCCTCATATGAGGGAGATCCGTGGAACGATACTTCCAATTTCTATAACCAACTTTCTGAACTACCTTTTCAATAATCTCTTGAAAGGAAAATTTGGGAAAAACATTAAAATTATTCTGTTGCTTCGAAAGTGTATGGTTTGGCAGTCATGAATAATTAAAGTGCTCATATAGAATTCAGAACACGTCTACTGCGGCGACAAAATTAGGTAGTATCTGCTCATTCCTCATTCTACCTCACTGAGTGCTTCGAGTTTTTACAAATACAGTCCTGCACCTAGGTGTTTTCCGGCGGCGCACTGGTACAGACCATGATTCGTCGGAGAACAGAGTCAACCAGCATGGGCAAGAAGACCAAATCTTCAATCATGTGCAAATTCGAATACTTTTATAAACAATGGGAAACGCGTGGAAACGAATACAGCGAGAAATTGGGCTTAGCCAAGCGAGTGTGGTGATCTAAATAAAATGATAGAAGGTCAGGAACTCTTGCATTCATTTTTGTCCCTGTGGACGAATACTTATTGGGTATGTGGGGTATATGACTAATTTAGCAGAGAATTCGCATGCCATGGCTTGTTGAGAAGTTTCATGATCTTAGTATGATATCTTTTTATTTTATGGTTTTCGCTATTTGATCGTATGACCTGAAGCTCTGCTAATCACTGAGGAACTCATGAAAACACCATTAAACCACATTCGTCTCCAGAGCACACCAAAATCGCTTAGCCCCATTTTCTGAGCGGAGCACAAACAATGTCATTCTTCTGATATAATGTCATTTCCTCATTATTTTTGATCCACATCTCGCAGGTGCCTTTGTCCTTTTTCGCAAAGTTATAGATTTACACCTAGATAGACTTTCAGATGGAAGTGTTGGACTCTTCACTAGCTTGCGTGACCGTTATATGCAGATGAATCCCCAACGCAAATTCCAGATCGGCATCACATCTACGATGGACCTATAAACAAGATGAGCAGTATCACAAATATAGTTAGAAAAGATATAGGATAAAGGTCTTGACGTTAATCAATATCTGAGCTATGTGCAACGCTTTCGACTTCATTAAACACCGCTAGAGGTAATTGAATGTTCAGTACTGGTACCCTACCAGACAACTCTGTACCAACTACCCGACCATGGAGAGAAGGAGAGATTGGACAGTCTGGGGACGCGGAATCGATCCCATGTTTATTGCAGAGAGCCTCTAACTACTTCTCTGTGCGCGCCCTGAAAATGTAACTAATTAACAGAAATCTGCTGAACACTTAATTTCCAGTGGCTAAGAAATTGAGAAGAAAATAGTAAATAACGCCTTAAGCACTCTATATTCCGGTTCCTTCAAAAATAAACCATAAGTTTTCGGGGGTGGGGTAAGCACTGGTTAGGTGAAGACTATGTATTTATAGAAGACTTTATCCACATATGGGTAGAATGTCCATGCCACATGATACATTTTACTACATTCCATCTGCTGGACGCATTGTTCTCAGAATTTGGCGCAATTTTCCCTCTTATATTGAACATATTTCTGTTGTATTTATTGTAACAGGCCATTGCATATGCTAATCATGAGCATAACTGGAAATAAAAAAGCAGTGATTTACTGGTAAGAAACTGAACTATTTGTGCCTTGCATAAGAAAGGATGGTTATTTTTAGGAATTTCCTGCAATTTTTAGTAATTATAAGAGCTACGATCTATAAGACCTATATTACAAGACCTATAAGAAGGGCGCATAGAGGCGTCACTGCGACACAGTGGAATCGATCAAAGCCCCATGGCCCACCTAGCTTTCCATTGCTCCGGGTTCGACAAATTGGTACCAGATTTGTCTAGGAGGATAGCAGCACTGGCTCGACAAATCGGTAGGCCACCGCGAGTCATTAGTAAAGGCTAGATATGCATTCAATCACCTCTAACGGTACTTAATGAAGTCGAATGCATTGCGCATCCCTCAGGGATTGACCAATGCTGAGAGCTTTAGAGGGAGCTTTATGAGACCTACCACGTTCATAACTTGCGGAATTTGTGAGAAAGACTTTGTTCTACCACTCTATATAAAAGCTGCAGCTATTCTATGGTATAATTTTCATTTCAAGTTTATTTAAATTGAAACTTCCACAAAAATTCAATTTTTTATCGCGGTCGAAAAAGAAATTTTGAATTGTTGAGAAAAGCTTCTAGATTCCAGCAATTTTCATTCGAATTCATAAATTTCACTACGAGCTGAGAAATGCTTGTTACAGAAAAGTCATAGTCATTGTTCTATCCATCTTGAGAAATATTCTGGAAGATCTGGGTACATATGCCTATCTCTGGTGGAATCATCGTAATTCTTTAATTCCTGCACCACTTCATGTTCTTGTTTCCTCGCGCTATTTCTCGCACACCTCTATCTTGATCCCAACGACTTTCATTGCAATGTATTCTCTTATTCAACATTTTGGATTAAATTTGATCGTCAAAAATTTGATACAATGGCCTAGAGCCATGCTATCTGATGACTACTTTATCTTCGGCTTCCATCGACTGCTCGTCGAAAGTTACAATGAAGAAAGTGGAGATGTGAAGGAAGGGTGTACTGAGAGCTGTTTGTGATTTTTTTTATTGATATTTCAGTGGTGTTAGTGAACGAAACTGAGTAGTGACCAGTTGGTAGCGCAACATAGTCGAAGCGAAGTAATGGTGTTGCAGTGGAAGGGTAAGAAGGACGTTATTGTACTGTCCACTGTTCACAACTCTTCTCTTTCCTTGAGCTCATCAAAACCCGGCATGATTGAAAATTTCGACCAAAGAAAAATTTCCGTGAACATAAGCGATCAGATGAACACCTGCTTCTCCTTTGTTAAAACTACAAGTGGTACGTATATTTTTACTTGTTCACGGTTTAGACATGTCGTTTCTAGCCTATGACTTGGGTACCTAAAAGATTTTTTCTACTTTATCGCCCATTCACACCGATCTGTAGTGGACCGCGTAGAGGTTATACAATGACAGTGCGCCGAAAATCTCACTGATGATTCAAGATGGACGTCTTCTTGCTCCACACTGGATGTGAGAGTACTTGGATGCCGTAGTCTACGTACTTAGTCGAACAAAGCGGCACCTAGGTCCGGAAGAATGGAGACGTCGTGTGGTTGTTACAAGACGACTAGAGAATTTCTACGATTGGGAATGCGCTGCAACACATACCAGAAGGGTTGGAAATAGATGTAACTGTTGTAAAAAATATTACTGGTTAATCAACATATGTTTATATTGGTGAGCTTACACAAGGTTGATGAAGTTGTTTATTCGCCTATCGTTTCGACGATATCGTCTTCATCACAGCCGATGATCCGAGTCGATGGTCCACAGTGTTTCGTGTTCTCGAGGTGGTGTCTTCGTCGCACATCGAACTGGATGTTCCCCAGTGGAGCATCACTCTTCAATAAGCCATACATACAGCCAAAAGAGCATCGCCGGGATACTTACAGCCAAAAGAGCATCGCCGGGAGGGAGAATATGGCTCATTCAAGAGTGATGCTTCACTGAGGAAGATCCAGTTAGCTGCGCGACTAAGACGCCACCTCGAGAACACGAACAAATGTGAACCATCGACTCGGATCATCGGCTGTGATGAAGACGATGCCGCCGAAACGTTAGCCGAATAAACAACCTCGTGTAAACTCAGCAATGCAAACACATGTTGATTATAATCATTGCTCTATTATTGCTTAGACAGCTTTAACAGCTTTCATACTACGTGTTCAGCACCTGAGCGAAATACCATCTGTAGGGAATAACTACATTTTTCATATAATTTCAATTATTGGTAAGGAGGGAGAGTCGTATGCGGGAATGGTAATTGATCTAGGGCAGGTAAGAATGACTTCCGAATGATCTCAGTGAACTCCGACTGTGGGCAAAAATTTCAAGTTGTTATTGTAATTCACTCTTTCTTTTCTTGTAAACTATTAAGTCCAGAGAACAGCTTTTAGCATGCCACTACTAATGTTGGATCTACTCTGAAGAAACTTGAAACATTTCGTTTGCCCTAAGCCTTACGATTTTCGGAGCCACTTATCCTACCTGCTCTAGCTGAAGATTTAAAGCCACCATTTGGTGAGAGCCTCTTGCTTGCATATCTTTTCATTTGTTGCCCACAGTACATCTCGCTTGCGTTACATTTATAGAGAGCTGCGCTTAAGTCATCTGCAATATAACACGGTTGTAACTTTTTCATTAGCTCTTTAATAAGTTTTTCTTTCCTTCTCATATGATATCTACTCCCGGTTAAATAATTTTGGTTGCTGTAAAGTCCTCTTTTCTTATATGTGTGACACTTTATGGAAGGAAAGACGTGAAACAACTGCTCATTACAGCACACATCTAATTACTGTCCTAATCTAACTAGTGATCCTCTCCACAAAGTACGAGAACTAAGGTAAAAAAAAACTTCTGTGAACCACAGAAGAGGTGTGACACGACATAGTGTCACGCAGTCGTGAATGTACTAAGAACAGAATTAATCTATTCGATTATTCGATAAGCCTGCAGTAGACGAAGAGCAATTATGAAACGCCTGTCGCTACGGAGACCATTGAATTGGACGATTGACAGAAGTTGGCTGTTGCAAGTTCGCGATCGTCTTCCAGTTTGTTTGTAACACTAGCTGTCGGTGGTGAATCATATTCAGTGGTCTGCTTCACTAAGGATAAGAGGGCTGGCACAACCTGGAACGAAAACTATTCGAGACTACGGAAAAAATGAAGAACTGCTTGTTATTAGTGACAACCATACATTGGTAAATTTATTAGCCCTTCAACTTCGAACTCTTTAAGATGAAGCCGAGTTAAATTTATTTCCTACCTGCCAATCATATGGTGCATTTAGATTAACGCCCTGCCGAATAGCGCTAGCGCTAACCATTCTTCTAATGAAGTAGTATCGTGGTCGCTCTTCGAACCTTCAAAAAAAAAGAAATGGCATTTGTGCTGCTGGCCTTTTTGGGGCAGCGGAATCTCAGTAGTATGGTGTATTTAACTATTTCATGTTTTGATTGTTCTGTGTGTTGATCCTGCCATTGCTTTTTAACTGCTATACTGATGGAAAATAAACGACGTGAACAACAATGTGCTCTCCCCTTCGCGACTGTACGCTGTTCATGGACGTTTGCACTAAAGAGAAACCTCTGAGAAGTTTTGAAATATAATATCTACTTCTATCTATTAATACGATCTACCCATATAATCACTCTGCTCAACGGTTTACCGCCTTATCGTGGCTGGGAGGTGTTCCTGGGTGTCTGAATGCGATGTACTGAGGGGCATTCATAAAAATCTCCATCTGATCCACAAAGGCTGCAACTACCTGTGGTGGTGAAGACCTAGGGCAGACTTTGGCCAGGCTGCCCTCGGGATTCCAGGAAACCACAATGGCTTAACCAGTAGATCTTCAAAAAATGGAAATCATGCTGGGGTCCGGATAACCAGTGAGGACAGGCTGTTCAAGTATCAACTATATAAGCTCTAGTATAATATCTAAGAACAGTCAACCATTCTTGATACCGCTTCCATTTCTTGAACATTTGCAAATTGGATTTTGAGAGGATATGCGATGTAGGACAGGTTGGAAAAATTGGAACGTTAGATAAATAAGAAATTTAGATTGGTGTTACCTCATAGTTATAATGTTGTTGAATATAGGAGTGAATTCGCACGGCAGACTTCTAAGCATTGTGCTTTTAAATGCTCCACGAGCATACTGCTTCCACTCACGGGTAAGACTGTGATCCAAAATCATTTTTTCGTGATACCATGGAAGAAAACCTGAACTTTGCAAATCCGCCTCATAATAAAGAAAACGTATATAACAATCCTGATTTTCAACTAATCCATGCAACATTCTGTGTTAAAATCTTAGGCATGCGTGGTACCTGCATATCATGCTAATCATCGAATAACCCAGGTAGAAACACTACTAAAGCTTCCACGTGCACTTTTTGACCAGAGTTGTACAGTTCACTTTGAACAGCTAAAAGACACGATGGGCAATAGAATTTTCAAAACGGATTTTCCATTTTTGCTGAATTCGGCGATAATTTGTAAACAAGTGAGCTCAGTGAGCACAAAAATGAAATCGATGTGCTCCGAAGTGTGACGGTGTGCAAAGTAACACGCACGACAACTAAAAGGATGCGTTAGCTAAACTGTGTGGTCCCTGAAAGGCCGCAACTTGAGCCGGAATCGGCCTGACAAGCATTACCTTTCTACCCAAAGAGAGACTGGGTCATGAAGTTTGGTTTTCCTCCAGAAGTTTGTTGGGATCAGCTACAGACGAAAAAACTCAAGCCAATCCAGTATAGAAACGAAGGCCTCTTTTTTGAAATTCAGACAGTTCTTGAGTTCGTCAATAATTGAACGAACAAATTATTTCAAGAAATAAAAGCGTAGAACGTTCACAGACCAATGAAAATCTCCATAATCATGTAGAACCAGCCCTCCAAATCGTCCTTGGGCGCTTGATCTCTCATTGTTGCTGATGCGAGTGGTGCAAACGGAAATGTTCCAACACATGGTCCGTAAATGCGACGTTTCATTAGCGTCCCATCCTCATTTCTAAGCAAATAATGAGAATATAACGAGATAAGTTCTCAAAACAACAGAAAACTGTGACACTCTCACGATTATTCATATTAAAAATATAAAAGCTCTCGGCCTTGATCAATCCCAAAGGGATGTACCATGCATTCGGGTTAATTAAGTATCGTTTGGAGGTGACTGAATGCATATCTGGCCTTTACAATGACTCGTGGCGGTCTAGCGATGTGTCGACCTTATGTTGTTATCCCTCCAGACAAGTCTGCTAGCAGTTTGCCAACCTCGGAGGGAAAAGAAGCTTGGTTGGCGATGGGCTCGGAGATCGATTCCATCCACGTGTGTGACGCAGTGGCGCCTCCGGCGCTTAGAGAAAGAACCACGGGCACAAACGAGGTGTCTAGCAAAAATAAGGACTTGTTTGTCCCGATTATTCCTATTAGGACTATTAATATTATTGCAGCTACAGCACGTTTATTTAGTAAGCCTGATTTTAACACTGTCAGATACGTGTGCTGCTTGAGCAAGTGTGAAATTATAAAGACGTCTTATACGTGATTGTACAACGGTGATATTTTCGTAATGAGTGACAACATTTCAGTCCGAAAACTAAAGGCGATTCCGAAAACGCGGGTTCGTCAAAATATCCGTAAACGAGTTATAAACTCACAGTAAAATTGTCTTGTTTCCAAAATCTTGAAGTTCCACGAATAAAATCGCAGATAGATGCAAACCTGAATCGCCTAGTTAGGCCAAAGTCAAGCATGTACACGATCGATGATTGATTTTCGAGTCCAATAGCAAAATTCTGCGATTTTACATCCCTAGAAGACAAATATTGACGAGTGAAAAGTTATGAAACCAACTGGTAAGTTACAGCGGAATGTTCAGCGACTTAAAGTGCTCGACCATTTCTCGTAGCAGAGACGGAAAACGAGCTTTACTTGAACTGGTGGCAGATCGCCGATTGATTACGAACTCATGCTAAACCTCGTAATGTGGAATACTGTTACCTGTTGAGGTAACCGATATCGTGTAGTGTCTCCAAGCGATCTAACGTTTGAATAGCGATTTTATATGCCGTCGCAGGTGAGAACCTTAAAGAGATATTTTGTAACTGTTTTGTTAATAGTCACTGGGCTTATAACCACGAACTTTTTGCTTGGCATTACCAACATAAGTGATCGTAAGTCTGGACCAAGAAGCTGCATCACACAGAACTAAAATATATAAAAGAATACTTAGAAGTAGCGGAATGAAATTAGAAAATAGTAGGATACCTGGGATAGTTGAAAAGTACTTTTTCAATTTGTACCTTTCCTGCTCATTTACCAAACACTGGATTAGTATGCCAGATTTTTTTAATATTTACATGACCCATGTTCACATTTGCTATGTGAATCCCAACACCTTGCATTCGATATATCTCCTCGCATTCATTATCCACGAAGATCCTCGAAAACTTGGCACGTGGTTTCGGGTGCTGCATGTAGATTATTTTCTTCCTTCTAAATGTCGCCGAATGCCGGTAGGGTCGATTCTGATTCTCTCTCGAGTCCTGTGATAGCCAGGGCAGACCGTTTCTACTTGGACTGTGCCCAGACAGATGTGGTAAGAATTCCCCGATTCCAGAGGGATGAGAGTGTTGGAGAGCTCGAATCAGGGTCGTTTCAGCACCGTTATCGTGATATACAACAGATTCATAAGATAGATTAACGACAATGATATCGTACGATGACGTCATCATACGGCAGACTATTATTATTATAAAAACTACTTAATTAAAACGTAGCTACCCATTTAGATTGTTAGTCCCTATACTACTTTCAAATCTGAACATCACCTTCACAATGACCTAGAAGAATGTCGCATTAGAACATTTACAAGGTTAAACGTTTCTACCTTGAACGCATTGGTACGACCAGCAACGATCAACGTTGGAAATCCTGCAGCAGTTCGTAGCTGCGATAAAACAGCTACATCGAGTTTGAGGACAGGCCTGAAATAACAAACCGAGTAGTAGAAGAATCTTCATCATCGAAAAAAACTTGTTAAGCGCTCTATTAGCACCCAGTTTTCTCAACGTCTTCACTTATTGACATTCAGCGCAGTGATTAGAGGTGCCTCGCCATGCACAAATGATCGTTGTTTTGATCTCGTAACATGGCCTAATTGATCCTCCAACCTTTTAGGGGGGATCTATATCAACTATGTCTGGAAGGTGAAAATAGCACTGACGTGACAATTCGTTGGGCACTGGAAAGACACTGCACAGGGCGGATATTAATTCATTAACTTCTAGCATGCTTAACGGAGTAGTGTACGTCACATCCCTAAGGATTGATCACGAACGCTTTGTCCTGTCGTTGCACTTTTATAGTACATCAAAGGTAAACTCAAAAATCTTCTACATTTGCATTTTTCTTGGACTCGTCTTGCCCTCAGGTAACGCTAGCTTCCTAGGTCAAACACTTGGATTTTCGATAAGAACGTTACCTTTCACAGTTAAGCTGCTTCTCTACTTTCATCGCGTAAAATTTTCGATGATTTTTGGCGTCTCTTAACTAAAAATTCGAATTAAATCTCATTTTAAATTCTTTTCATTTGTATACATTGTATAGGTGGCATTTGGGTTGTCCACTAATGGCATCAATAGTTGCTGTCCTCAAAGCTAATCGCTAGCTGGGAAACTTTCCTTTGATCCACAACTATCAACGAGCAACGATATTTACCATCAACGAACCCGCTGTCACAGGTATCAGTTGTTTTCCCAAAAATCTGAACTCCATTAGCATTTAATGACTTAATGAGGAAGGAGGGAACCAGATGTTTAAGCCGCAACCTAACTATTACACATGTCCAGCAATGCCTGCGAATGGTGGTTGCAAAACAGTGAAAGTTGAAGTCCTGCGATGGACAATGTATGTATGGAAGTAATTAAGCACATGGCTATAACTTACAAACCATGTAAACACATGAAAAAACTCCTTCATAGATTTTCTTAAGCACATTCCATGTATTTTCTAGAAAGGAAATTGTGGTCCCTGGCTGGAAAACGATGGGAACTTTGAAACTCATCTACACAAAAGACAGCAGAGCCTTTTAAAACCCTACCTCAGGCAGTCCAAAATCGTTGTTATATAGCATTTTTTGAGCACATGAAAGAACTGCCACTGAAAATTATTCTCTAAACTTTGTAGCGCAAATATAGAACCAGTATCAGTGAATGGAAAGTTGACACATACGTATCATATGAAGCGGTAGAAAAGCACACAAAGGTGGAGTATACCGTATGCATTGAGTACAATGCACGCCGTGCAAAAAACGAACGGCACTCGCTCATATGCTACTTATCTCAATCAAATACGCAAACTGAAGAGGTGATCTTGCATTTCTCCACGTTTTACCAGTACATATTACATTCTAAAACATTACACCGATTGCAAAAACCTACCGGGCTGTACGATGACGAGTTAACTAATTAACTGTACCTTGGAAAAAAGCAGAAAAACATGGTGTGATAGAAATGGAAAATATGTCTTATTATCTAAAATTATATCAGCAATAGAAGCAAATAAATAATACTTTAATCTGGTCGAGTTCAGCGAGTGACCGTAGTCGCCTAGGGGGTGGGGGAATCAAAGCCGTTCACTCAGGCTACCACTTTACACGTGATATCATTTGATTTTTCAAGCAAAAATACCCACTCTGTACAGTGTTAGTAACAGCAATACATACTATTATTAAATACTAGTGATGACCTTTTAAAAGACAATTCAGGAGCAGAACACCGATAGAGGCCCCACAGCAAGGAGAAAAATCAAAACAGGTCTGATTCTCGACTGTGTAAAATATTATCAGTAGTGTTACGGAAAAATTATATTGAGAGCTGTTTATGGTGAAAGTAGCTGGTGGCCACTTTTTTCATCGCACTCGGCTAAGGCAAGGAAGGTCAGCTTTGGCAAACATTGCCAAACGATGAATTCATCGGAATGGGTTATCCATTATGGCTATGTTATCGTCATTTCACATTCTATCTGGTCAGAGTAAAACTGTGGATGTTCAAAACAGAACAAAGTAGTTAACGGTGTATGCTATAAGTCCTAAGGTGTAAACGCACTCGTATCTCATCGTCATGAAAGTCTGAAGATATTTTAAGTAGCAATGGTTCTATCATTGTTTAGTCAATAACATGTCTATGTACTTTCTAGTCAGAATCGTCTACAAGCGTTTCATTTGGAGAGATATCAAGGTGAGAATGACACTTTTTCACAGCAGGGTACGATGTGAAATAATAGCCACTACGATGCTGAGATATTTGCAAAATTTAGTCCCACGCCAAAGCGAACTGCGATTACCCTTTCCGGAAACTCATGTGTTACCCATTGAACCATTCAGGCCCTTGCTCTGTCTTCCTCTCAGTCAGTTTCCTACCTAACGGTGTCATCAGTAATCACCTGTTCCACCACTAATCACCGAATCTGACCAAGCGTGAAAGTTTAGAAAATATGTATCAGTGACTACTATTTAGTTTGCGAAGCCTAGTATTGCTTGAGAGGACACTTGAAGCGGCCTGGTTAGTGTACTCCTGAGCACATAGTTTGATTCGATCCTGTACTAGAAGAAAGCCAACCCTTTCGTTTCTCAGGGATCAGCAAATTTGTATCTGACTTATCCAGGATAACAAGAACCCTGACTTGATACATCGTCATGGCACCGGAAGTATTTGTAAAAGCCTCTTATTGATTCGGTCACATCGACGTTAAAAAAAAGAGGCTAAAGATCTTGACGTTCATCAATCCCTGGGAGACGCGCAATGCATACGACTTCACTAAGCATCGTTGGAGGCTACACGTACCTCGACGATACTTGGTGAAACCCGGTCAATAACGGATTCTTCAGAAGTTGATAAACGCACAACACTTTATCCTTCGTCCTTGGAATGTTGTTTGAAAACTTGTAATCTGTTTATAAAACGAAAATGAAAAGCGTTTACTAGTTAGATATACGAAGACGCAAACCTTTAAGAGAAGAACGAATACGTTCAAAGAAATTGTGGATAATTATTGAAATAATGATTAGTTTTTCTGAATGTAGTAGATAAACGACGAAACTCCAAAGCGAATTTACACTTCCTAACTGGTTTAAATCGTTTGGACATCGGCGAAACCGCCGAAACGTCAGCAATTGTGTTCTAATAAATTCTATATTAACAACCTCGTGTCTGCTTATTGATGAAAAACATTGAATTATCAATTAATGCCGAGGTTAACAGAAAGTCGGTCATGGGAATTACTACGTTTGGACATAGTTCCACACATATATCCTTCAAAGCTCGTAAGCTACCTATATATAGTCAATGTGTCGTCTTTTGTATAAAGTAAAAAACCTTGTACAAATCTGAATCACTCTTATTGTAACAACAATCTGGTTTTCAGTCATCTGCTTTAGCGCTTACGTCAGATTTTTGGATTATAAACAGCAAATGTTGAAAAGATAGAGTGAAACTTTCAGTGCTCATCGCAATGCGACTTACTCCTTTGGATCTAGTTGCTGTTTAATACTTAACACTTGATACTTGAACGCCCGTCCTCACTGGCTATGCAGGTCCCAGCATAATCTCCATTTTTCAGAGATTTGATTGCTAAGCCGTTGTAGTTCCCTGGAATCCCGAGGTCCGCCTGGCCAATGTCTTCCCCAGGTCTCCACTACCGCAGGCAGTCGCAGTCCTTGTGGATCAGAGGAACATTTGCCACCATTCGACTTTGATACCAGGACGGTAGTGGATCCTGGTACTGGTTGACTCTTAGCTAGGCTTCCTGATGCAAATGCCGGACTTCTTCTCAGGTTGGGGGAACTTGCCAGGGAGATGATTTACGTTAACCACTGTAAATCGCAACCCGACACCCAAGAACACGTCCCAGCCACCATGAGGTGGTAAACCATTGGGAGGATTCCTGTTTAATAAATTAACTAAACATACATTTGAGTAAACAGACATGATGTCTGTACGACATCTTAAAATAGGATGTATTGCGTCAAAAACAAACTTGTAGTACGTACTTCGCCTTTCTACCAAATTTCATAACGTTGCTCAATCATAATTTCAGTTCAAAAAGAGGTTACAGCAACTAATCAGTTCACTGATCTCCATAATGAGGTTCATTAAGGCGATTAATGCATGGGATGTGTGCATTAAAAAGAACGCGCATGTCCACAAGAACATGAAAGCAGCTATTTCTGCTTCATCACGAGATCGGATATCAATTGTTTCCAGGACCAGCTCGATGACTCTTTCCCAAAATACGTTAATTATGATGCGGAAGATTGGTAGACTTCAGCTTCGATTTATGCCTGCTCGCCGATAGCCTCCTCTCGCATGTAATTCTCGATGACACGAAATCTAGATGGAATGAAACGAATCCAATAAACCTCAACTGGAACTTTGCAGTAAATCTGCTTAAAGTGTTAGACAGTTCATCTTTGCAATAAAGGACGAAGGATGTAACGCACACGGAGAACCTTATTGCGTCTGAGACGTTTTGCACGATGTTAGTGAAATTTTGAAACATTAAAGCATCTTAGACAGCTGCTCTAAAGGTGGTAACGATTGGCAGGAGGTCATAGTGCAATTTTTCCTAATTGTTAACAACAGCAAAGCACTCACGTAAACTTAGTTTCAGTTTATATGACGACCTTTCCCCTCCTGGAACACATTAGCTATTGTGCGCGATTTCCGTAAACCATGCAGCTTTCAACACTCGTTGCTAACAATTTTCTTCGAACTCGCCTTCATTTGCAGTGGAACAAAATTGATTCGTTGATTATTGGACTCGTCGTTACTAATCATAATGCTGATAAGAAATCCACGTCTTCTGATGAAATCTTCTGATGACCAACCTCTTTTCACATGCTATGCATGTGACTAGAATATCCCACCTCATTTTTGTGCAAAAACCAGCCAATAAGTCGTTCAGTGTTTTTTACATAGAAGAATAAAAGGGTAAAGCTCTCGGCGTTAACCAATCTCTGAGGGATGCGCTATGCATTCGACTTCATTAAGATTCGTTTGGAGGTAGTTGAATGCATATCTGGTTCTTACAATGACTCGCGGTGGCCTACCGATGTATCGAACCAGTGCTGCTATCCTCCCAAACAAGTCTGTTACCAATTTGCCGACCCCGAAGGGATGGAAGGCTTGGCGGGCCATGGGCGCGAGGATCGATTCCACGTGTGCGTCCCAGTGGCGTCTCCAACCACTGCGCGACATGCACCCTTTTTTTACATAAAACCCTATAAAATATAGGAACGTTTTCTTTTGAATATGTATTGAGGGGTGAAAGCAATTCATCCGTTTCCAGCTCTGCAAAGCCAAGAAAAAATGAGAGGCGAGAAAGAATAATGGAATAGAATAGAATGCTTCTATTTCTAGAATTGCTTAGAACAATACTTCCATAAATCTCTGATTAATAAACGAGGCCCCGGAGAATTTCTTCGTCATTAACGAGAGTAGCAGAGCGAGGATATATTTGTTATCAATGTCTCTGCTGAGTTATTTACCGTAAACGATAATAAAAGATGTAGCAAGCGTTTGGGTATAAGATGGTTTTAGTAAAAGAATTCTACGGGAAAACTAAGCGGTTTCAACACGCGATTTTGGATCCTATGATAAAATGACTAAGCTGATTTTCAGACGTTGCAGCCATTCGCTAACGGAAAATGAACGACTTAAAATAGAGGTATCCTCCCCCGGTTGATAAGAAATGGGTAGTGCCTGTGAAAGGAAGATGTTGAGCCCTTGCTGAACAACAATTCTATTATAAAAGGCTATAACATGATTAGACATCAGTTAGAGTTTCGTGTGAGAAAACTACAAAATATCAAGGCAGCTGACTTTTGAAATGGGTGCTTTCTACTGCAATCAGATTTTATCAACCATTTCAGGGTTACTTTCTCACAGTACAAATCATCAGGGTTGGTGTCTCTTGAGATTTTGGCTCATAAGAAAGGTTTTGACATGATATTGATTGCAACAAACCATTAATTTCATTATTATTATTATTATTACTATTATTATAGACCTGCATAATACTAGCTGCTCTTGAAACAATTTCACATTTTATGCTGTCTATTTTCGTCATGGAATCAGAAATACGAATCCTGCTATCTGAGAGGTTGGAAATGTCAAATTCACTCTCTTCGAATGAGATTCCTGGTTTCCGATAACAATATTGGGCTTCCGTTTTCTTGATAATCACCCATTAGGTCCTTACCTTATTATACTATTTCAACAACAGATGATGCTTCGGCGGATTTCGCCTTCTTAAGAGGTTGGAAATGTCAAATTCACTACAATCCAATCAACCAAATCCCTCTACAACATCGAAAGAAGAAAACGCAGAACCGAAATTTCAATCGGGTTGGATACAAAACAGCGTCTTCACACATTGCTTTCTATGAGGCTTCCGCTGAGTATTCCAGTTGTAGAGGAATTGTACAGCGTTCACATGGATGGGTAAAGCAGCCCTCTCGCATTAAACTATCACTCCGAGATATTTTGTAAAACTATAAGCGATAACGAAGCACTTTCTCTTATGAATCATTTCTGGATATATGGAATTTATCCAGAACGCTTCAAGGGTTTTACACGCCAAAGTTTCCGATTCCTGTGCAAGGATGGTGGGTCGACGCGTAAGACACTCGAGGCATTTTGGATAAATCCCAAGTTCCATAATTTCAATGTTGGATAAATCCCAGAAGATCAAAATGCACTGTTGAAAAGAATTCTTCGTAATCACACGTGGTCTCACATATCTCAGATTGATACTTTAACATGAGAGAGGCTCATTACGCTTGCATGTAAGCTGTGCACGGTTGGTTTCCACATGGAATAGTCAGTGGAAGACAAATAGAGGGCAGTGATTGTGCGAACATGCTACTGGAGATAGAATTACCATTGACATTGACAATTGACATTTCCAGGCTCTGGAGAAGACAGAATCCTCCGAAACATCAGCTATTATTAGCAAATAACAATAATAACAACCTTTTGGGTGCTTATAAAAAACAACGACTTATTGATCAATGCCGAGGTCAACAGAAAGTCAGACTTAGGAATTATTACGTTTGAAAAGTCACAGGCTTTCCATTCGTGATTTCCCGCCTCATCGCATATGAGTCTCGCGTGTCGAACCGCTCTATACAACGGTAGCGTGATCATCTTTACATCTTCTCAGAAAATAACCTAAATTGAGAAACAGATTAAAATTCCTATCCAGAAGTCTAACCAAAAGTCCAATAATGACAAACATCGATAACGTCGGTGCCATTGCAGTCGTAAGGCGATGAACCATCTCTCGATCCATAAGAGCTAAAAATTCATGTTGTGACGACAACAAGAAGTCTTAGCAAGGTTGACACTACAAAGGTAACAATTACCTCAATCAACAATAACACAAGCCTCAATACCTCGAACAATATGAGCCACGGTCTACAATGTTACGCAGTGACAGAACCGATGTGAAGCAATACCATGTTATAAAGGCTACACTGCAACCAGACCAAAACAACATACCATAGTGTACTCAGAAGACACTGATGCTGACATTGACGTCTTCTTGAAGGCGACAGTTGTTATCGCGTTTCAGTGTGAAACAACTACATGAACGCCATAAAACATCAAGTTCAACAAAAAACACATGCGGAAATCAATGAATGGACTTAATGCCTTTGGAGGTAAGATCCACTGACAAAGTATCGCCGACGTGAGCTTTGTAGTCTACTCATAAATTATGCACGACGTAGAAATCTGTTCTAACCCCGGGTCTAAAAACGACGATTTTCACAAATTATTCCTCACAAATGTTCTCAACTGTGGAATAACCTCATTCATATGACCAGCAGAAATAAGGGGACCGAAACAGGAAGTCATTCTATAACTTTGCAGTCAGACGCTTGAACGTCGTAATACACAAAACCTGTAAAAATGAATAGGAATGAAGAAATAAGATTAAAATTTTGAAGTGAGAAAAAACAGTGATCTAGTGAAAGCGTGCCCACAGCACATTTCTTCTATTAAAACTTGTTTTCCAACAGTGAAAAAAATCAGTGAAACACCTCGAAGCAGGAGACGTGTTCAATCCCAGGCTGTCAGATAAAAAATGACAATCTCATTGAACTAGTATCATCTTCTGAGTAAGAAGATTCGATCCAGTTACATAAGGGGAAAGAACTGTAGAAATGGTTAGAAGGGAATAAGTCTAGGACACTCTATTCGGAAGGCTTTCCTCAGATAACTGAGAAATAAAGGCACACTCAACTGAGAACGAAGATATGCTCATCAAAGCAGTGCACATTTGTGCCGCATATGCTCGGCTCTCTAGTTCAGAACTTTCTACAGCATTTCCATCAGCACGATTTTCTGAAAAAGCGAAGAGAACTGAGGCTTATTCTGACTACCACGCACCTACTACAGCTGGTACCAATTTGCCGACCCTGGACGGATGAAAGGCTTGGTTGAACTGGAGTGCGGGGATCGACCCCATGCGTATTCCAGAACGCCTTCGACCACTGCCCTACATGTACCCACTAAAATCGTATAGTAACTAGAAACATTGAAGAACCTTGAAAAGTAGACAGTTTAATGATGTAGGAAACTACAACGAATGCAGTGTTTTGTTTTCATTACTGCTGAAGGAAGATAAACTTCGTAAGGATTCTGATCACGGGATGGAATTGAAAATAGGAAAGGTCTACGTCAATTTCGACATCTCCTGCTTCGTAACTCCAGTCTCGCACGAATACACAGATTTCTCTCCAAGAATCGCTATCGATAAGACGTAGAAACGTATAGTTTTAGAGGGAAGAACCATTACAAACAATGTGTCGTTTTCTTGTTCAGCAATCGCGAGGTTTTTAAACAGTCGAGTCGTCAACCACATGCGACTATAATCAGCTGTTCTAAACTTCCTCATTGGAAGTCACGAAAAAAGCGGCTCTGAAGAAGGCGATACTGCCGAAACGTCAGCTAGCGTTGTATTGTATTGTGTTTTTATGGAAGTAAATGTATGCTGTTTAAAAACCTCGCGATTGCTGAACAAGAAAACGACACATTCATATTCCAATGCCGAGGTTAAGAGAAAGTCGATCTTGGGAACTATTACAAACAATATTCTTCGATTTCAGTGTTCAATATCATCTAAGCGAAAACTGTTATATGAGCATTCCAAAATTAATAGCTAAACCCGTTCCACATAAGGCATCTAGCTAACTGATATCGCATCGCCGAAAATAGAGTTCTTCTGTAGCGCTCCTGTCGTTCCCATAGAAAACAAGCCTTATAGGGAAGCACTACGTTGACGAATTCGTTCAAGTTTTAAATCTGAATGACACGTTGTCAGAAACTTCCTTTCCGTCGAACGAATAACAATTGTTTTTTCAAGGATCCAATAAACATGTAAACTCAGTAGCGCGAAGTAAGAAACTGAGCATGAAACGGTGTACTCAAGAAAACAACTCTTTCCACCTTCTCAATAGTAAGCCGAAACAATGAGAGAAACGAAAAATAAGACATTAAATAGTTATTTAATGTTAATACATATTTATGTATATGTAACGCTGTGGTTGAAGGCGCCACTGCGACACACACGTGGAATGGATACCCGCGCCCATGACCCACCAAGCTTTCCATCTCTCCGGGGTGGGCAGATTGGTACCAGACTTGGCTGAGCGGATAGCAGCACTGGTTCGATACACTGGTACGCTACCACGAGTCATTGTAAAGGCCAGTTATGCATTCAATCACCTCCAAACGATACTCAATGAAGTCGAATGCATGTCGCATCCCTCAGGGATTGATCAACGCCGAGAGCTTTTACAGCTTTATGTATATATAGATATATATATATACATATGCATATACATGTAGATATGAACTCTAGGTGTTTCAGTGTCGTTGGGTCTTGCTTGCTTTGCTCAGCGTTTTTTATTGTTTATTTATTTTCGTTGTCCTATTCACTATAAATGTGAGTGACCCAAATTATTTTTCCTTAATCCGCTTATAGATATCTTCTTCAGATTATTGGAATATCATAAAATTTCTAACCCTCTATGAATTTACATAACAGCAAGTGAAACGGAACAATCGTTGTCAGACTAATCGGTGCTCAACATAAAAGACCTCTCTTAATTGCTCCCAGAGACCAAGAAACATGAAAGGAATTAAGGTTCCGCTCTAAACAAATTGAAATTTCGGCTAACTATGACTATTGTTGATCTTCTGGTTAGAGGTTCCCATATTTATTCACTGATAAAAAGTAAGAATATGCAAGCAAACAAGAATATAGATTTCAGCCATCTTGGTAAAATCCATTCTCAACTAGTTATGTAGCTGAGGCAAAAATAGACTCTTATGTGATATGACTAATGATTATTTCAGTTGTTTAACTTCGGTAGAATGGCATACTTGGTAAATCTTTGTTGGGCTGGACCATGTGGTAACAGACAAATTTTTCAACATATTTTACTCATGAATAGAAGCGATAGTTAAAAGAATCTAATCTCAAAAAAATAATATAACTTCCACATTTACGCAAACTCTAACCTTTAGAAACGAGTATCATTAGAGAGGACAAAATGATAAAACATTTGGCGTTCATCAATTCGATAGAGATGCAGCATGCATTCGACTTCACCAAACATCGTTAAATGGATAAATTATAAAACCCGGGCGTTAAGCAATTCCTGAGGGATTCGCCATGCATTCGACTTCATTAAGTATCGTTAGAGGTGACTGGATGCATATCTGGCCCTCACAATGACTCGCAGTGCCCTACCGATGTATCGAGCCAGTGCTGCTAACCTCCCAGACAAGTCTGGTACCAATTTGCCGACCCCGGAGAGATGAAAGGCTTGGTGGGCCTGGGGCGAGGGATCGATCCCTTGTGCATTGCAAGGCGCCTCCAACAGTTACGCCACACGCTTACCAAAAATCGTTAGAGACGAACAAATGCATATCTGGCCCATATAATGGCTCGTGGTCCTCTACCGAGATACTAATTCAGCTTCTTCCCAGAGATAGTCTGGTGCCAATATCCGAACCGGAAGGATGGAAGGCTTAGAGAGCTCGGGCTGCGAGACCGAATCAGCGATCGATTCAGTGGGTATTGCAAGGCTGCTCTAACCACTTAACTACATCAATTCCCCATCGTAAGTGCATCAGCAAGCGGCGGATAGCGCAGTGGTCAAAGGCGCCCTGCAATACACATGGGGTCGATCACCGCGCCCCAGGCCCACCAAGTCCTCCATCCCTTTGGGGCCGGCAAATTGATACAAGACTTGTCTAGGAGAATAGCAGCACTGGCAAGATCCATGGGTAGTCCACCGCCAGTTATTGTAAGAGCCAGATGATATGCATACAATCACCTTCAAACGATGCTTAATGAAGTCGAATGCATGGCGCGTCTCTTAGGGATTGATGAACGCTGAGAGCTTTATTCGTTTATCATCATTGTTTATTCGTTTACAGTAAGTTAGCGTTCCAATGTTTCAGGACAACTTGAATTCGACGACTTCAAAATTTACGTCCATTTTGCACTCGCTGGTAAATCTCTTCCTGCTTTAACTGACTAGGTTTAAAGGACTATCTCTCCGATAGTCAGCAATGACTGTCTTTTTCAGTGAATATCGCAGATGTTTCCCTCGTCGTCAGTTTGGCGGCGGTACTAAGAACCAGACAACAAGAAAAGAGATTAGTTAACAGAGTTGTTAATAAAAAAAAACATGGCAGATCATAATGTCAATTGATATAAAAGATCTTAGTGATGAAATAGAAATTTGTCACATTGTTGCTGCTGTATTTTCTTTCTTGTACTTGTTCGAATCGTTGTAGCTGATTTTTGCTAAGCAACCATCGATGAATGATACAATTATTTGCACTTTCCAGTAAAATGAACTGATGGGATCGACCGTAGTTGGCATACTTTACTTATTCCATTTTATTTTAATTTTTAATCTACATGACCCGTCGTCAGATCCACTGCGTGGATCCCAGCACTTCTTGCATTCGATCCGTTTTCCTCGTTAATCGTCCATAAAGATCTTCAAACACTTCACATGTCGTTTCGGCGGTATGCTTGAGGATTCCGTTTTCTTAACGAATTTCGTAGGTACTGGTTCGACTCCGTATCGAGCTCAACAAGCCTATCAGAAATTACGTATGGGGAAATTGGTACGAGACTAATCTGTCATCAGCCGACTCACTCCAATTGGTGTGGGAACGCCTTAGCACGGCTATCACAGGACTCGATGGAGGATCAACACGAGCCGAGTATGCAGAAATTCTCAAACAGTTAGATGCAAGGAAACGAATCGAATGGAGGAAATGCTGGGATCTGCACATAAACGTGAAGACGTATCATGCATGTTAAAGAAAGCATTGTGAGAGCATACAATGCAAACTCAATGATACCCTACGTCCTGATATCATTACTTTAAATGAGTCTGTCCAACACTTAACATAAACCATGTCTGTTGGACACCCCACAAAGTGATAGAACGTGGTGGGTCTGCACCAACTGGAGAGAGATAAGAAGATCAAATGAGAGAACAACACTGGCCATGCGTTCTGGGTCCTCAGTAGATAGTGCTCGTCTATCTAGCCGAAGCCTAATACACGCCATCACAAACTTATGTCTTCCGTCTTCTGAAACTCACAAGCATGATCCCATAGAGTTAATAAAGGCAAAGCTGGTGATCAACGCCAACAACTACCACAAACAGCTCTGGAAACTCGCCGCCTCGAAGAAGAGAAAGGGACTGATCACTCAGAAGCCGGTTATTGTATGTCACAGACCTAGAAATTGGGCCTATCGCATTTCCTTCGCCGTACAACACGAAGATAGCGGCTTCAAACTGTAACTGCCACGCATGCCGAGGTATCGTTTGTGCGACAGGAAGTTCGATGACTGCAAGAACCTCATGAGCCATTTTAGACTCACAACATCTCCCTTTGCCGCATGAAATTCACATCCCAACAAAAAAGAAGTGGAAGTCGTCCTTAACTATGATGGTGGATATGTTTTCGACCTCACTTGTATTCCGAACAAATAGAATTAAAGACGAAAATACTTCAAAAATGTAAGTATTGCGTCTTCGCTCTTGTATCTTTATTCTTCCATACTATTACGAAAAAGTTTCCACCAAGCACACCTATTCCATCCGAAAAATAGACAATAACACTTTCTGTTAGTGGAAAACAGTCACAAATCTCTGGTGGTAGTCTGGGATCGGTGAAGGAAAAATTTGAGAACCAACTTTTACTCAACCAAAAGGCTACCTAGAAAGACTACAAAATTACTTCTACCACGACGATACAGCTTTTCTAGTGCCCTTTACAAACTCACTAGGAGGGATACGTCAAAACGCTTGTATGTATCTAAGGCGCTAAGCGCTGCATTCCAATCGATGTCACTTAATTAAAATGGAAAAGAATACACATCACTGGAAAACCCATACCAGACCTTCATTTTCTCAACAGCATCGATCTCTTTGAAAATGGAAAGAATGATGAACAGATGAAAGGAATCAATGGCCAATGGGAAAAAAGTAAGATCAACGCTTTTTTGATTGCAAAAGCCACGATCTATTTGTACCGAAGGCTTCCAACGAATGTGGGTAACAGCTATGTGAAATGAAGAGAGGATGCACCACATCCAAGTCTCCTTCATTATTAACAACAAAGTGTTTTCAAGCGAGTTACAGTTTTCCAAAGTTACTGTTCAGTTACTCGTTCAGCAACAAGCTAATTTTTACTGACAGCACGGTATTTGAAATAACCATGACGATTCCGAAACGATCGGAAAATGTGGTGGTGTAAGGGCAATCCACACATTCATCCACTTCGGAAACTGTGAAACACTAATAAACCTCTTTATCACTACGAGGTCAAATGACGGTAAAATTCATCGCGTAAGAAAACAATACGAAAATAGCGATCGAGGGAAAAATATGTCAAGGCAAAGAAATATTAAAATAATAATGCATCTAGATCGAAATTCACTCAATATCCATATCTAAGAACAACTATGAGCAAAGACTATAGTGAAATGAGCTCAATTTATCACAGTGAAGCTGAAAAAGCTGAAAACTAAAAGATAGCATATGAGTTTCAATTTAAACAACCCGTACTAAATTTTGATCGATCATATGAAATGAATAAAAAGGAAAATGGTATTCGTTAAACGAAGTCTTAATGACCGTTTACACACCCGACTATACAAGCACGACATCGTGCCCCAAAATATCGTCCAGCTTCAACTGCGATACGACACGAACAAGCCGCGTATTATAAAAGCTCAACTGCTCCCGAACATTCGAGATTGAATATGGAACGCACGTAAGTACAACGTTAACCTTCAATATACTCTATTTAATAGTTGGTGGTAACAGCCCATAAGAAATTTCGACAGAAATTCACTTGCCTCCTTAGAAATTCGCATCTGAATACATGCAGGGAATATAGAAGTGAACAATTCAATGATCTAAAACTTGGCCAATCAATACGCGATGCAACTAGATTAAAAGAATAACGGATAAAGCCTTCGGCGTTGATTAATCCTTGAAGGATGCGCCATGCATTCGACTTCCTTAAGCATCGTTGGAGGTGATTGAATGCACATCTAGCCTTTACAATGACTCGCGATGGCCTACCCATGTATCGTGCCAGTGCTGCTGTGCTCCCAGACAAGTCTGGTACCAATCCGCGGACCCCGGAAGTATGAAAGGCTTGGTGGGCCTGGAGAGCGGGGATCGATCCCATGTGTATTGCAGAGCGCCTCCGACCACTGCGCTACACGCGCCTCTACCAGATCTCCGCGATCTGGTGTAGAATACGAAATATGGCACGAAGAGGAAGGTTACAAGCTATGAGAATCGCGTACCTCTCGTGCACTGCTGCCGCTTCCCTCTCGATCGTTTGATAGAATATTAACGACTAAAGATCCTTAAATAATATAATTATAACGTATATTAAAAGCTAAGTGTCACCTTATTAAAATTACCCGTAATTTTCAAAATGTCCTTCATACGTGATATAACGCTGGCATTTCGAAAGGCCCTCGCAGGACAAGCGGATCTCATAGTTACGTCACAAGCATCCAACACCAATACATCGAACTTAAGACCTACAGTGAAGTATAACTAAACACACAAAAAATGAAACAGACAATACGGAAACAAATAGTTAGGCCAAATATTCGGTGCACGAAATATAAAGAAATCTTTCCTTTCTTTCCATTTATGTCAACTGCGCGTGTAGCGCAGTGGTCCGAGGAGCCCTGCAATACACATGGGATCGACCCCCGCGCCCAAGGCCCACCAAGTCTTCCAACTCTCCAGGACAGGCAAATTGGTGCCAGACTTGTCTGAGGGGATAGCAGTACTGGATCGATACATCGATAGGCCACTGCCAGTCAAATATGCATTCAAATACCTCCAACAATGCTTAATGAAGTCGAATGCATGGCTCATCCTTAAAGGATTGATCAACACTGAAAGACCTCATTACGGTCTTGAAGTAAAACTTAAAGGGAAATGGTGGACGGTAAAAGTTATCTTGAGAAAATTGACTAAATATTAAACACTTGCTCATGAATCTTCGAATTCTTTTTAGTTACGACACCTATTTCACTCTTCAAAACAGTGTGTGACGATGTTGGTTTCTCAGCAAATTTTTGAGAGGTAGAGCTATTAAGGACCTGGAGACTATGCAGGCTCATAAGGGAGGCCTTAACAATCGATTTAGAGGTATGAACGTTCTAAAAAATCTTAGCAATTTTGAAACTCTTTGAAATTCAAAGTTACAAAGGAAAGGAAGTTGACACCTTTAGTAATTAGAAAAACTTTTATTCCAAGCTCAGAAGCCTGCAACATCAATGGTGCATTAAGGAGCAACATCATATTCTGCTCTATCAAATACTTATTATTCAATCGTTCTAGTATTCGAAATATGAGCCCTGACGCAAAGAAAGTAAAACTTTTTGGTAACAAAAATAAAAGAGTTTCGTTGCGGTAAGACAAAAGATTTGACACTATTTGGGCAAAGACCTGTAGAGAACCTCGGTTAAATGACACACCGAGGTTAAATGATGGTCGGTTTGATAAAAAATCAATAGAATTCATTGGTTCTTATTTCAACCAGTTAACTTCACACTGAAGCCCAGATATATCTGCTTAAAGCACAGGATCATTATTTTCTGACAGGCATACACCAAAATTGATCTCGTTGCTAATCTCTTAAAATCATCCCAACGGATTACCGCTTCGGTGTGGGGCTGTTCATGGGTGTCGGAAAGTGATGTACAGGTGGGACAATTACAACCCCGGTAGGGCCTTCCAAGCTGAAGACTCCAGCATTTCCATCAGAAAGCCCAGCTAAGAGTAAACCACTACCAGAATCCACCACCGTCTTGGTAACAAACTAGTCACATGGTGGCAAATCTCCCTCTTATTCACAAAAGATGGCGAGTACCTGTGGTGGTGACGACCAAGGGTAGACTTTGGCTAAGCTGAATTCGGAACCCCACGAAACCACGATGGATGAGTCAGGAAAACTCAGAAAAAATAGAAATTGTGCAGAGGCCGCACACAACTAGTGAAGAACGGGCCATCCAAGTATCCAAATAATCTCTTAAAATAGAAAGGTCACAAATTCCTACCAGTGGAGAGTGCGTTTTCTAAGAAATGCAGTCCGTCGTCAACAATTACACGATGATTCGTCGAATCTTTAACGCCAAACCATTCGTGAGCAACTTTTACAACAACCGGATCCAATTCCACAACAGTTATTTTAATCTGGAAGAATGAACATTTGTAGAATGTGTACGGTCACGTGATATTTCCCAATCGCTGTACACCAATATTCTTAACGCCATTATAATAATGTAGCCACTTTTTATTTACTGCCTATTCTTTTTTCATAAAAGAGTATGATGAAAGATAGAACTACAATGATGCTGAGATATTTGCAAAACTGCAGACCAGATCAATCCGCTGACGAGTAATTGCTGGTAGCACCTATAGAACACGGCTGAGAGAAAGGCGAAACGAAGGACACGCATGGTATGATGGTAAACACGTAAGCCGGCGGAAAGGGTAATAGCGAGGTTCGGTCCCCGCCGCGGACACTTCCCGTCCGTAGTTTTGCAAACATGTCAGCATCGAGTTGCTACTATAATAATTTGGATGACTATACAAAGAGATATTAAAGGGTCAATTTAAGAAACATTCACATGGTGTTTCAACCTGTGCAGTGCCATACTAAAACTTCCTCCACCTAAGCCGATTTCGAGAACGTTTTTTCCCTCATCATTTTGGTCCAGTGATAGTGATGATAATAAAAATGGTCCAACTAGCATCCCAGCAACCTAAACCAATGTTTAACTGGATGAGTTTAGAATTGGAGAATTGGACGGAACGATTCATTCCAACATTGCGAAAGGAATAACAAAAGAACCTATAACATAGACAGAACACCTACATAACTCGACCGAATATCAGAATGGTCAATTCCCCAAATCCTTGTGTCAGAAGAATCGAAACTTTCGCCTGGTAAATTAAAAAATTCAGAACATCAGTGAACACTTAAGCGAATTATGTTTTAAAAAAACCATTTAAAAAGTACTTGAAAACCTTTAGGAGAGATAAGACGAACTACAGTGTCACTTTCATCGTAAAAGCCGTCGATGAGCAGATGTCGTTCAACAACTTCCTTGTGTTCACTGTAAGTAAGAAGTTAGAAGGTAACAAAAAGTGTATCTAAATAGTATTTAGCAACTTTCTTTGGAAAATACTGGTATGATACACAATGGTACTGAGATATCTGTAAAACTCCAGCCCGCAGGTGTCTGCGGTGGGGAATGAGCGCGTTATTACACTTATCGGGTGTTAAGGCGTTCACCACCACACCATACGTGGCCTTCGTTTCGCCTTCCTCTCAGCTAGTTTTCAATTCATATGGTATATGGTTTCAAAAAGGTGACAGAACCGCAGTTGTGGTAAAGGATACGGAAAAGAAATAAGCTTTGAACGGTAAAGAGAAAGGAGAACAAATGAAAATCTCCATCTAGTAACCACAAGAACCAGTTTGCCACAAATAAGGACAAGTGGGACCTCATGCAACCTTAGAGAATAAGATAACAAAAACACTGTTTCTTATGCGATCCATAGAATTTAAGATAAGACTGTTTAGAAAGAAACCACCCACAAAATGATTTAATACGAAAATTTTGACGAGCCAAATAACTGGGTTCAATGCCGATTTAGGCTCCCCAAATCAATTCCGCTGACGAGTGATTGCTGATGGCAGTGATCGATTGAACTAGCTGAGAGACAGGCAAAATGAAGGGCCCGCACGGTGTGGTGGTGAACGCGTTACTCCCCGGAAAGGACAACAGCGCGTCCGTTCCCCACCGCCAACACCTGCCGCCCGGAGTTTTACAAATGTCTCAACATCATTGTAGTTTCAACTATTAATCAGAAACGATCAGCTTGCTCTATTAAACGTATGAAGCCAGAAGCAAATCATCGAAATCTAAGAAAGTGGCACGTTAGAAACGAGAGATTCGAAAAGGCCAAGGAGTGATCGGGAGAAATTAAAAGGCAGAAGTCTAGCGCTGGGATTAGAAGCGATCTTATATGAATGATAAGTGACTTCTCCGCACTTAAGAGCTGATGAGCAAATCGACCATCAAAACTAGACAAAAAAAAACACCGTTTCAAGCAGAAAAACCCACTCTTGTGTGAATTTCCTGTCATAGACACTGTAGCAAACTGATGTCGTGTCAGAACAGATCTTTACAATGATGACTTCGTGGAAGTCTATCCTAAACCGAATAATATAAGAACAAAATACTTAAAAAGTTAAAAATAGCCGATTTGGACTTTTGTCAAGCAAAAAATTGAACAAAGAGGTAATCAGAAGAGGCCAGACAACCCCAATTCTAACGAGGAGAACTTTGTAAAACTTCATACCTGTTTTCCAAAACAGACTGGTCCACAGCACCCAAATATTGAGAATCAATAACATAATTGTCTGCTAGAGCGTAAAACTGGAATAAAAATGGAAAATAAACTCTTCTGGCCACTTCTAAGAAAAGGATACACCTAATCATAGTAAAGCCGCAGTTGCTTTCCTTCTCATTTTACATGTTCTAGCGTAACTCAGCCCGTTTAAGGACAAAAAGAGAACGATATCTTTGTAGGTGCACTTTAAACAGACATAATCATTTGAAAAAACTTAAACTCGATAATCACTATGAGGTTTCTTAAGGAGGGACTCTATTACTTTCCGAATGTCATATACAAATGGAACCCCAGGATAACGATGAAGCCCAGAGAACTTGTCAAAGGAGCGAGGCCGTCCGTATAAATGATACAAGTTGACCCGTGCAATCGACAAGGGAAATAACCATCGTATGCTCGGCCTTCAGCTAAAACTCTTATTTGGACGCCTGGATGGCCCGTCTTCACTCGTTGTGAGGGGCCGAGCAAAATTTCAACTGTTTCAGAGTTCTGCTGGTTTAACCAATGTGGTTCCCTGGAGTCCCGAGTTTAACCAGGCGAAAATCAGCCCTAGGTCGTCACCACCACTGGCAGTCGCTGCCTTTGTCGACCAGAGGGAGATTTGCCACCATGCGACTAGTTTTATGCCAGGATGATGGTGGATCCTGGTATTGGCTCGCTTTTAACAAGGCTTCCTGATGGAAACACTGGACTCCTTCTATGCTTGGGAAATGAATTGCCTGCTGTACATCGCAGCCCGACAACCAGGAACACCTACCACCCACTATGAGGCCATAAACCGTTAGGGGGCTTTCATAAATTAGAAACCGAAAATCGAAGGACTCACGAGCACATAGAGAAAAATGCAGAAAAACACTGAAGCTACAGACAATACGCGAATCCTGTATGTCTTCTTATGCAGCATTAAGATAAAAATTTGCTTGAGTTTTCGTAACGACAACCAACGCATTGTTCTCTATAAAAGAACTAATTACAAGTGAAATCAGACTACTATAACAATAAATTTAACATCATCAATCTAATCACCACGAATACATACCGAATACAAACAACTCTGGATAACTTCAAGCCATTTCAACAACATTCAACCTTGGCATATGAAGTGATATAAAAATCTGCCGTAAATAGACAGTGTGGTACGCAATTACATATGTTAGTTACTACTGTATTTTAAAAGTTGGCTATACAAAGGATTATTGTACTTAGTGAATTAAAGAGGGGTGGTATCATTACGAGTACGGTGCTGGTTCGATCCCGCTCCACGCCCATCAAGCCTCTTAAGCTTCCGAGGTCGGGAAAATGGTACCAGACTTGTCTGGGAAAAAATTATTCTCTGCAATCGAATTGGGAACGCTCCAGCACGGCTATCTCAGGACTCCAGGGAGAATCGACTCGACTAGCATTCTACCACATTCAAGCTTAAACTAAAGATCCTCAAGCAGTAGCAGAAGCCACACGTAAAAGTTAGAAGACCTTTGTGGATGCGATGAAACGAATTGAATGTGAGAACTGCTGAGACCCGCACAGTAGGCGTGAAGATGGGTCATATTAAATAAAATTAAAAATCAAAATAAAATGGGTCAAAAGTAGAGAACATTAACAGTTTTCCAACGGCACGACCTCGCATAGAGTGACATTTGGGGCAGCACTGTCTCTAGGGTGACTCAAACAAGGGTTATTTCCTCTTGGGCGGCAAATTTATTTAATTTTGGAGCACAGAATTTGATTATAGCTCTTCTGCACAGTCGATTTCCCATTGTATAGAGATGGCATGCAACGAGGACGCGTGAGGCGCCTTGCAATACACATGAGTTCGATCCAGCAAGCTCCACGCTCAACAACCCTATCATCGTTCCGGTGTCCGCAAATTGGCAACATCAGTAGGCTACCGCGAGTTATTGTATAGGTCACATATGTATTAAATCACCTCTTACGATGCTTGATTCAATGCCGTGAGCTTTATCCTTTTTTTATCTACACAGACGATGGAGAGGAAGTCGTCCATTGTAGGCTATTCCTTACATCCAATTACACACAAGAAAATTCTTTTGTACGAGTTCCTCCGCTCTGCACAGAGAATGTTGCCGGTGGTCCATTCAATGTAAGGATTGTTATCTTTTCAGAAAGAATGGAGACGTTCATTCTGCGCTTGAAGACCAGTGTGTGCAATATCTTGAGACCACTCATCAGGACGAGACAAGAAATTATCGAGGCAACCTATGTAGGTAGAACGTAGCATTGTTTTATAAAGGGCGAAAGCTACTGCCTGCAAAAAGGATAGATGTCCATGAATAGATAACTTTTCTTATTTGTTGCTTATTATTTTTTAATGGCAAAGCACCACCTGTGTCACCTGTCGTCCCGTTGACCGTCGAACGACTAGACCGGGCGCTAATAAATGTTTTATTTTTCCCTGTCGTGTGCAGCAGTATCCCAGTGGGTTCTGCTCGCTCCAGGGACGCGTTAAACATAATGTTCTTCTAGGGTTTTCATAAAGAACTCCGACAATCTAGTCTGTGGTCTTTCTGCAGTACATTTGACATTTATCGTTCTCATGTATTACGTGCCTAGCCCACTTTATCATCTACAGTCTGGTGTATAGAACGGCATCTTTGACTTTTTGTCGTTGACGTAGATCGGAGCTTCGGATCCCTTCCCTCACTTGTGCGATACAGGATACTCCTAGCACCGCCCTTTCGACTGCGCCCTCAATAATGTTGACTAATCTTTCATCCTGTTTACGTAGTGGCCAGGTTTCTGACGCATACGTTAGGGCAGGAAGTACTGTTGAGTCGAAAAGGTGGGCATGGAGTAGGGTGTTCTTTGTTCTCTTCACTACATCCTCGATGCTCTTGAAAGTTCCCCAAGCCGCTTGCTTCCTTCTGCTCAACTCTGAAGCTAGTTCGTTCATCATATTGATTTCCCGACCTAGATAGACATAACTGGAGCATTCGGAGATATTCGTTCAATTGAGCGTGAGTGGAGCATACGAAACCAATCCGTTCCTCATGAACATCGTTTTTGTGAGATTTAGTCAAAAACCAATCTTTCCACAGGCTTTATCAAAGTCGGCAAGCATTCGTTCCACTTGGCTAATGTTTGGTGTGTATGTTATAAGCACAATGTCATCAGCACGATGTCAAGTGAAAATGGTGTAATTGTCGACCATCGATTTTCACTTCTATATTATCCCATTCCAACGTTCGCATGACGTTCTGGAGGGTGGCGGTAAATAATTTTGGCAAGATGGTATCGCCTTACCTAACCACTCTTTTGACGCCAACGTTAATATCGTTGTGGCATTGTGATATTTTGGCTGTGGAATTTTATATAGCTCACAAAGAATCTTCATGTACTGAGTAGGGACGTCTTGCCGGTGCAGGGCTCACATAACTGCTTCTATATCAACCGAGTCAAAGGCCTTCTCTGAATCGGTGATAGTGAGACAGAGCAGTTTCTGTACACTCGCGATAGTTCAACGAGTCTTGTTGCCGTGCAGATGTGGTCTATGGTACTAAAACCTTTTCGAAACCCTGCCCGCTCAAATGGCTGCCTTTGGTGCAGTGTTCTGTCAATTCTGTTTAGGACGACTCGAGTGAAAAGTTTGTAGATAACACACAATAAGCAGATTGAGCAACAGTGGCCGATATCGCGTTCACCCTTCTTGATTACTAGTACGGTCTTGCTAGTCATCCACTGAGTAAAAAACCTACATTCTATCAAGTAACGTGTGAAGAGCTGAGCCAGTGTGTTTATAAGGACAGGAGGAAGGTTTTTCGAATGCTCAGATCGTATCCTATCCGGACCTAGTTTTGTTCAATTCTTCACCGACGCGATAGCATATCGGATTTCGGGAGTGAAAACCGGAGGGACAACAATCCATCCTCCGTTATTTCATATGAGGACAGAGGACGTGGCTATTGGAGAGATCTAAGTAGTAGTCGTGAATGACTTCCTCTATTGCCTTTCTAGACGCTATAGCTGTTCTGTCTTGGCGTTGGAGTGCAATAATGTTGGGTTTTGTGATAGGCGAAGATTCGGTGGGCTTTCGGAATGCTTTTCGCAGCATCTGCAGCTTCTACCATAACTGGCG